CATCCCAAAATCCCATCCCAATTGGGAATCCCATCCCAAAATCCCATCCCAATTGGGAATCCCATCCCAAAATCCCATCCTAATTGTGACTCCATCCCAAAATCCCATCCTAGCCAGGAATTCATCCCAAAATCCCATCCCAGCTAGGAAAATCCATCCGAAAATCCCATCCCAGCCAGGAATCCCATCCCAAAAAACAATCCCAGCCAGGAATTCATCCCAAAATCCTACTCCAGCCAGGAATTCATCCCAAAATCCCATCCCAGCCAGGAGAATCCATCCCAAAATCCCATCCCAGTTGTGACTTCATCCCAAAATCCCATCCCAGCCAGGAAAATCCATCCCAAAATCCCATCCCAGCCAGGAAAATCCATCCCAAAACCCCATCCCAGCTGGGAATCTCATCTCAAAATCCCATCCCAATTGTGACTCCATCCCAAAATCCCATCCCAGCCAGGAGTCCCATCCCAAAAAACACTCCCAGCCAGGAATCCATCCCAAAACCCCATCCCAGCCAGGAATCCCATCCCAAAACCCCATCCCAGCTGGGAATCTCATCTCAAAATCCCATCCCAATTGGGAATCCCATCCCAAAACCCCATCCCCACCCTGTGAACAAACCCCAAACCCTCCCAGCTCCGCCCTTACCCCGAGCCGCTCCCGACACCAATTCCTTCCTCTTTCTTTTTATTTTTTGATTTCTATTTCCCCTCCCCTGTCTCATCCAGGTGACATTCCTGGATCAGGTGACCGAATATTACATCAGCAGCGAGGAGGACAGGAAAGGACCTTGGGAAGAGCTGGCCCGGGATGGCTGCAGATTCCACAGGAGGATCCGGGACACCGAGGAAGCCATCGGCTACTGCCTGAGGCCAGAGCACAGGCTGCGAGTGTTCCAGAGCATCCACGGCTCCCATCCCCAAAGCACCGAGCCCTTCTAGAACCTTCCAGCAAAATTTCACCTCTCTGGCACCTTTTTTTTTTTGGAAAAAAAAAAAAAAAAATCACAAGTGGCAGCTGCGCGCGGTGAAATATCGGAGGGAAAATAATTTATTTTTTTTTCCGCCCCTCCTTCCTCCTTTCTGTTTTTTTGTTTTTTTTTTTTTTTCTCCTCCTCTCACAGTTCAACTCTAAATTTTTTTTATTTTGTTACTTTT